CTTGCTTGCCCCTTAGAGACTGCTACTCAAAGTGTGCTCTTCGAATGAACCTGGTGGGGTCAGCCTCTCCCCACCGCAGGAGCCCATCGGAAATGCAGAACTCCAGCCTGGCTGGCATGGCTCAGTGTTTGAGCATGTCATGGTTTGAGGGGGTCGTGGTTCGATTCCCGATCAGGGCACATGCCAGGGTTGTGGGCTCAATCCCCAGTAGGGGGCGTGCAGGAGGCAGCTGATCAATGATTTTTTTCTCATCATTGATGTTTCTATCTCTCTCTTACTCTCTCTCCCCCTTCCTCTCTGAAATCAATTAAAAAATATTTTTTTTAAAAAAGAAAGAAATGCAGAACTCCAGCCCCACCTCAGACCTATGGAGGGGAATCTGCATTGTAACCAGGTCTCCAGAGGACTCACATGCATATTAAAGTTTGTGAAGCTTTCGTTGGCGAGCCAGACATACCCAGCGATAAAGGATTTAGGCTCAATCTCTCCCTTGAGTATCTGATTTCTATTAACTAATACATAGTGAGAGTAGCTCAGAAAACTTCAGAACGGGCTGCAGTAATATGAAGTGTATGGATAGAGAAAAGAGAAATGCCCCCCAAAAATCTTTCATCCCCAGCCACTTATGTCCTACTGGCATGTTTTACAAAGTAAGACCCAGTGGACTTCAGGCACGTGGGTAACCTAGAGCGCTAGTTCTAAGTGCAGAGACCAGGGCCCCATGGCAAACCTCGAACCCAAACATCTGGAGGGTGGGAGCCAGAAATTGCATGTTAGCAAGTTCCCCTCGATGATACATACTAAGATTTAAGAATGATTCTCCCTACGTCCTTTGATTACTATTTGATGTTAGGTACGGATTTCCCTTTCTCAGGAACAAACGTGAAATGTTGGCACCTCTGGATTCATGGTGGGGAGATGGCATTAGAAGTGAGACCAGCCTCAGTTGGGTAATATAGTGACTGGCCCTTCACCTCTTTCTGCCCCTAAGTAGGAGAGCACCGGTGTGATTCCTTGAAGAGATGTAGGTGCTATAGGGATTGAGGTAAGGCTGCTGTTTGGGTGGGGCCAGCATCTTAGACACAAAGTTCCAGCACCTCTTGAACACCCCAAACTCCTGGGCAACTTCACTCTTTTGCTGATTTGTTTTATAAAAAAAAAAAAATGCAAGCAGCAATGGGAAACCATGGGCCATCCACACCCAGCCTAAAAGACATTTTCCTTATTAACCACAGGGGAACTGAAAGGAAATGCCAGTATTTGCCTTGGCTGGGCTAGCGTATCACTAGTTCGCCAGTCAGGTACACTAGATGATAAAATCTTTCCATACTAGAGCTTAACTTTAGTGGAATTTTTACAAGTCCCCATACCATGCCCAGAAAATGGTGTCTCTGTGTTTAGGTGTGGTTTTGTGTGGAGTATTTGCTCGCTTGTAGGTAAAATTGCCAGCTGTCTGAGGTTTGGAAGTGCCTTGTTAATCAGGGGATGACATCAACTGAAGCTGTCATTGTAATTGCTTACAGAATAAGAAGTTGTACTGAACAACTCCTTATGAAAGAAGCATATAACCTAATATGAAACAGCATGGGCCAGGCCAGGACCATACTGTGGGTCCAAAGGGAAGTTCAATGGTAAGTCAAGTGTTGTTCCCACAAGACTAGGACTTGGGAGCCCTGGATTCTAATTCTAGCAACACTCAAACTCTTAGGGAATCCTAGCCATGTCTCATCTTAGCTTCTCCATCTGTACATTAAAATCGTCCCTCTAAGGCAGCGGTTCTCAACCTGTGGGTCGCGACCCCTTTGGCGGTCAAACCACCCTTTCACAGGGGTCGCCTAAGACCATCCTGAATATCAGATATTTACATTACGATTCATAACAGTAGCAACATTACAGTTATGAAGTAGCAACGAGAATAATTTTATGGTTGGGTCACAACGTGAGGAACTGTATTTAAAGGGCCAGAAGGTTTAGAACCACTGCTCTAAGGTCTCCGTTGCACTTAAGATTTCAGATAACCAGAGAGTTTTCAAATTTTAGTTGGTAATTTTAACATTGGGAATTGGTCTGAGGGGCAAGAGCATCTGAAACCAGAAAAAGAAACTCGGGCAGGGTTGAAAAATACATTCTTGTAGTAGAGCAAGTATTTGACCTTCTTTCTGATCTGAAACACACACAACCAAGAGAAACACTCCTGGAAGTTATTCATGGGAGCAGATGGTAAATGGGGAACGGGGGTGAGGGCGGCCTGCGGTGCCCCCAAGAGCTTCTCCAGCCCACCCATGCCCAGCTACTCCTTGCAAGTCATTACACTGAGGCCAGGAAACATCACTGAAAAAATCAGGAGTGGTAAGTGTGCAGTGGAAGATGGTGAATGTTGTACTATTGGGGGGAAAAAGTCACAACTCACATGATCACTGATAATTGAGTGATTTTAGTCAAGTGAATATTGATACATGGCAGGAAAAGCATGAAAATAAAATGAACACATACGGGAATTACTATTAACATAAGTGATAACATCAAAACATCTGGTAAAAATGCAGTTTAAAAAAACACAACACAAATGAAATGGAATGTAAAACATTTTCACAGTATTCAAAGCTTTTGTAAAAGATTTAGACTCTAAAAGAGGAGTGCTACAGGAAGGAACTAGAGGAAACAAATTTTGTGTGTGTCCTATGTATCTGCAGGTGACAGGTCGGGACAGCCAGTACGTTATTCCGTGGGAGTTTTTGAAGGTGTGCTTCTAAACAGATCGTCTGAGCCCACCACACCTGGACAGTTACAACAGGGCAACTAGTTACCTGGAGTCTGAGGAGAAACGCGGCCTCTAGGTTTGGGCAAAGGTGCTTCTGTAATTTACAGATGCAAATGAAAACCGGAGCTCTAATTGGACTCCACCTTGGTGCTAATTCAGTGGCACTGAGAGCCAAGTGACCTACCCGATATTCGAAAAGCAAAATGTTCCTGGAATTCTCACCTCCCTTCCTATCCTCTAAGAAAATTACTAGTATTTTTCAAAAATTGAGCTGAGTTCTGCCAATGACCTCACAGGATTCTACCCAGAATGTCTATCTGAAACCTTTACAAAACAGGACCTTTGCATTAGCAATAATTACCAAATCACCCACACACCTCCTCTTTTGGGAACCGATGACCAAGCCAATGAGTCTGCACATTGGTTTTGTTATGGCCTTTGTTGAGCAAATCAAAGGTTTGGGATAACAATGCAGATTTGGGCCACAGCCTCCCTTTGCATCCTGAAATCGCTGTGTTGTACATAGAGCTGCTGGGTGTCTCAAATCCACAGTAAACCTCAAAGTCCTAGGACACTGTGGTTGGGGTAAATCCAGCTGCAATTCATATTTCCAATTTATTTTGAACTTTTTCTAAAAATATCACCTTCTACCTGAGAATTCCCATTTAGAGGGTTGCACAGCACGGCCACCTATTATTCTTCCATAATCTCTCTGCTGCAACTGCTAATACCCCACACAGACCCCTCTCCCGAGGCCGCTGCCGTGGAATGAGGGGCCTGTTGCATGATGCTCTGTCAAAATGAGCAGATACGTCAGATACATACGTTCAATGAACTCTTGAGCTAATCAACCAAATCTCAGACCCAGATCCATGCACTCATGAAATTGCTCTGAATTTCAGTTGACAATAGGAAAGTAGAATATTTCTAATGAACTAATATATATACACACATTTTTTAAAACTATCCACAATTACAAGCACATCACTTAAGATGCCCCCCCAACACTTGACGATTAAAGTTTGGAGACAACCAAAAAAAGGTATTAAAATGACGGGATCCCTAATTGTGAGAGGTTAATTACATCAGGGTAACCCTCAGGTAGGTAACGAAGGTGGCAGGCAGATTTTTCAGTCTGGAGTCTTCGGACGTTAAGAGCATGTTCCACTGTTTCTGTATGGCGAGGGCCACGCTTGCCGGCCTCTGTGCAGCACCCACGTTGGGTGTAACCACTCACTCGCCCAGAGGGACAATTGCTAAAGTCCCCGAGGTGTTACAGAGAATTAGGAATCGGGCTTGGGGAAGATATTAGCATTGATTGTTTAGAATTGCTTCCCCGAGTCTTCGGACGTTAAGAGCATGTTCCACTGTTTCTGTATGGCGAGGGCCACGCTTGCCGGCCTCTGTGCAGCACCCACGTTGGGTGTAACCACTCACTCGCCCAGAGGGACAATTGCTAAAGTCCCCGAGGTGTTACAGAGAATTAGGAATCGGGCTTGGGGAAGACATTAGCATTGATTGTTTAGAATTGCTTCCTATACACTGAACAAGGGGAATGAAGTTGCTTAAGTGAACAGGTTTATGTACATCACTTATTAAACAGAAGGCTCTGAGAAATACCGAGGGGAGTCAGAAAAAACTGCAGAGGTATGTTGCCTTGAGTGGGGAGACACGTGTGGCCTAACTTTCCCTCTGCAGAAATAAAAATAAAAATTTGTTAATGCAGGAGCACAGGCAGCCTGGCTGTTCTGAATGCCTTTGACCTGTTGAAAGGAATCCATTTCTTCACAGGCAAGAAAGGAATGGGAAGCACTGTGAGTTTTGAATTGCGTTGTGTTGGGGCCAGAGCGATCCAGGACTCCTCGGGAGGGAGGACCCACGGCTATGCACCAGCTACATCCACCTCCCACCCAAAGTGCCGAGCGATAGCACTGCTTCCCCGGAAAGTAGCCTCACAGGCAGCCTGGCTGTTCTGAATGCCTTTGACCTGTTGAAAGGAATCCATTTCTTCACAGGCAAGAAAGGAATGGGAAGCACTGTGAGTTTTGAATTGCGTTGTGTTGGGGCCAGAGCGATCCAGGACTCCTCGGGAGGGAGGACCCACGGCTATGCACCAGCTACATCCACCTCCTCCCACCCAAAGTGCCGAGTGATAGCACCACTTCCCCGGAAAGTAGCCTCGGGGGCACAAGAGACCCTGGTCTTAGCATACCTCTCAAATGCTCAGTGTAGACTTTAAAAAAAAATCCTTGAAAAGTGGGGTTTTTTAGTTGTTCTTCTTTACGAAAATGTGAAATGAACAAATAGATGACATTAGAATACTAATCTCTTCACCCAATTACAGTCACTGGGACAACAATTTGCTGGACTGTTCTAAATTTTTCTTAAGTATGATTTTTAAAAACCACTAACCAAGGCCTCTGGGGTCTGAAAATCATCTCTCTCAACCATGGGCCTGGCGCCACAGTGTTTCCCTTCCTCACACAAAGGCCGGCATGTGCTGCCCTCCCCATGAGTGGGGTTCGATCCTGACTGAAGCGGATGTCAGCTGTCACTCGCATGGCATCTGAGACTGGTTGATTCACAGCGAAAGGCAATCCTTGGGGAAGCAGGGCGGGCATGGCCTCCCTTTGTTTTCACTGTCACATACTGTGCTGTGCTTCTCTTCCCTGCACCTCCTGCTCCCTGGAACGGATCTGAAGTTGTATGTGTGGTGGGTGTCCGTGTCTGCCTAAAGCAGACAGCAAGAGAAATTCCCCTGGAACAGAGAGCAACATGTCTGCCCAATAGTTAGAATTTCCTAGTTCCAGAGGAATCGATTAGCTGATCGACTCACAAGTGATTTGTGATGACACAAACAAAGTCGTGGGGCTTAGTGCTTGCTGCTGTCTCTTAGGTTTTGCCTAATCTCTTTTGTGGTGTGGGAAATTTTCATTTTTTAGTGAGTGTGTCTCTGGTGGACTGTGTCTCTAGTTGAATGGTTTTGCACCTCCTTATACCAGTGACATGCAGCTCCAGACTGGATATCAGACAAGACTTCCTAATCTAACAGGGTTTCCCTACCTGGGCGTGCGGCTTTAAATACTGGCTATACTGGGGCTGGAGGAGGGTGTGGAGGGAAGAGTAGGGATGCTGCAAGAGGAAAGCCAATGGGATTACAACGTTCTCTACCCACAGAAGCAGTGAGTTTCAGCGTTGTCTGCTCAGCCCCATCCCTCACCCCAACCCAGGGCTCCCGGCCCAACCCGCCCTGCCCGTGAGCTTCACTTAAAGACCGACTGGAAAGTGGGACACTCGTGATTTTTCATTTTCTTCATGAAGTTTTTGAATTCCTTGTTTTTCTTGTCCCACTTGTGGATGGCCGTCAGCAGGTACTGGCTCTTCACCTTGCGGCCCATGATGAGGAAGTGGTGGCTCAGGTTGTCCAGCTGGTGGCAGGGGCAGTCGGCCCCGTTCTTCAGGTACAGGACTAGCTTCTTCAGCTCCTTCTTCTTGATGGGCCCCAACTTCAGGGGCTTCTTCTTCTTGGGGATGATTTTTTTGTCGCCATTTTCTTTCTTTACTTCTTTTATTTTCATCCTCAGTGCTAGAGTGGGTGAGGGCAGGGAGGGGGTAGGAGAGAAGGGGAGAGAGAATTTGAGAACACAGCTTTTCATGTACAACAATAACCCAAACCTATGGCTGAAGAGGAAGGTGGAATGAAAGGCAAATAGCAGGCAGAAGGAGACAGTTTTATGAGTAAGTACCAATGGCTCAGTGAACTGATTCTGTCCCCCTAGTGTTGTGGTACAACTCAGACTCCTTTCCCAGTTGCTGCAAGGTGTTATGAATCTCAAATACATTTTCAAAACCAAAACACATTTCTCTTTTTTAAAACTCGGTGACTCAGAATATCACACAAAGCTTTGAGAAAGAGAGGGGATCACGGAATCCAATATAATCCATATAACCTAATGCTTTAGACTCTGGAGTTAAAGAGAACCCCTGAGGGTTGTGTTGTTTTTATGGTATTCGTTTAGGTTTTTTTTTACATCCATGGGTCATAAAATTCCTCAAAAGTTGTGTCCTCTGAATAAGACAGATAGAATCTATGTGTGCACACCCAACTAGAAAAAGTGCTTCAACCTGTCATGCTCAAGTGCATTCAATATCAATGTCCAACTTCAGCACTGGGGAGATCAGGGCCCCCACCAGCATGCCTTTTAAGAAGTTTTGACAGCAGGTACCACTGAGGTTTTGTCAACCACTAATCAGCTTCCAGCGTCTATCCATTGAGTAGACCCACACGGAACCAAACTCCTGGTAGATTAGAGCAAGTCCTGGTGGAGTCCTGATAGATAAGTCAAAGTAATGATACTCTCAAGTCTAATCTGCTACATGGGCTGCTTCTGTTCTCAGCACATCCCCCTGCAGAAAGGCAGAGTCCATCAACTTGGCCTTCTCTCTTCTTTGTCATTATAGACCCTGAGTTAACATTATTTTAATGCTAACGTGTGGACCAGATACTTTAGTGATGGCTGCACAGGGTCTCTGGATGAAGAGAAATCAGTGTGACGGCATTCTCTAAGCCAGTGATGGCGAACCTATGACACGCGTGTCAGAGGTGATACGCGAACTCATTTTTTTGGTTGATTTTTCTTTGTTAAATGGCATTTAAATATATAAAATAAATATCAAAATTATAAGAGAGAGATTATAAGTCTTATATGGTTGCAAATATCAAAAAATTTGTATATGTGACACGGCACCAGAGTTAGTTAGGGTTTTTCAAAATGCTGACACGCCGAGCTCACAAGGTTCGCCATCACTGCTCTAAGCGGTCAGTGCGTTAACACAGCATGGCTGTTACAGTCCACTCCCCTCGGAGGCCAGCCAGCCTGGTATTCCCAAAGGAGCTGGAAATCATTTTCTAGATGCTAGTCACCAGACAATTTGTACATCCTCTGAATTCTTCTGAGTTCAAAATTACTCAGCCCCCTCCTTTTAATAACACAAAGCTCCCACCCACAAGCCATGAAGAATGACTAGAATCTGAACTAAATAACAATAGCTAACAATTATGAAAGCATACGGCATGCCTACGAGTGTGCTGAGCATTTCCATGCATTTCTTCAATTAAACCTAACAACTCCATGAGGAAGGTGCCATTATTTCCCCCAACTAACAGATGAGAAAAAATGAGGCATAGGGCGTTACCTTGCCCACAGTCACTAATCCTAGATTGAAATCCATGTCTGAATGTGCACTTTTAATCACTGTGCTGCCCATGCTGGCTCTATGGTTGCAAAATTCTTCATAATGAACCCCAAACTTAGCTACTGATTAAATGGGCCAAGAAAATAAGGGGGAGCAACTCAGACTCCTTTCCCAGTTTCACCCACATTTCAAAATGACCTACTTAAGAAATGGCAAAAGTTCCTCCCGGTTGAAAGAGACTGTTGTGGCAAAGGAAACACTGCATTCGTGGCAGCTGTATAAGTTAATATTTAGTTGATTAGAAAGCACACCCTTGGCCTAACCCAAGAATAAGGAGGAGAGAAGAAATTGTCCTAGGAACAATCTTTAATGAATGAGTCAAAGTCAGTAAATTAAACATGGCCCACTGCTTTCTTTTTCTTACAAAAGGGTTCCAGACCTTGCAGCCTACTCAACCCCATAAAATACCCTAGACCTGGTGTCACTTATGAAATGCCTCACTCCCAAGGGTGGCAGGAGGTTCAGGAACTGGGCACCCGGCAGCAGAATGCTCTCTCACTGAGGATTAGCATTGACCTCACAGGCTGGTCCAGGCTTCCACACACACATGGGAAGGAGTTCCTTTCTTTAGCTCTCCCCTCAGCCTGAACCAGCCATTGCCCAGGGCCACTGATTATGTGTGGCGCCCACCCGCACCATGGACAGTGTAGTGGGACCAGCAGGGGGGAGTGCAGAACAGAAAGCAGCAGAAACCCTCCCTCCAGGACCTCACCCCAGACAGGCCCGAGCAGGCCCACACCTGGCTAAGCTTCTCTTGTAGACTTACAGCCCTTGTACTTGGGGTTCACTTGAGAAAAGACCTCGACTGTTCTAGTCTGTGGCTGGCTACATAAGAAAGGTTCTCAGAGGGGTTGAGTGAGGAACCAGCCAGAGGAGACACACTACTCAGGCCCAGGCTAAGTCAAACAGAGTAAATGGGACTAGGAGAAACCACACAGAAAGGCAGCAAAGAATACTGCAGGGAGGCAAGGCAGTCGGAACTATTCTCCTTTCACAAAACCCTCCAAAAGGTGCCCCATGCGTTAGAGGAGTCTCAAGCTACTTTGCAATGTCGAAGGCTGGGAACCAGGCGTTGCCATCGGAGTGAGTGATCAATTCCATCACCAGGAGAGGTGAATGCATGCCCCGCTGACAATGCAGGAGCTCTCTTTGCTACATAGACGTGAGCCATCCTTTCTTAAGTTCTCACCACATGCCGCTCTGTGAGCACAGGACAGCTGTTGTCGGTGTGGCTCCTGACTTAGTGCCCACAGCATCCATGTATAGAATCTGCATTATTATTTTTTACAATCAGGGAGAGGACTCGGGTTAAGTAATAAAACACGTGGCCTCCATTTGTAAGAGGGAGAATCAGAAGTAGAATCCAGCCTAACCCCAAAGACCCCCGCACTTTCCTACTATACCATGACTGGGTTTCAAATGGCATTGCTTCAGTGGAAATTATCTCACTCTTTTGACTGTATTGCCTTTAATCACAACTCAAATCAAAAATTAATGGTCCTTTGCCATGACCGTGTAAAGGAATTTAGTTTACATAAGTGGGGGCACGGCACGGGGAGAGGGGAAATCAAATGATGGAAATGTGTTCTGCATTAGGCTCTTTATTCCTTGCCATTTGGCTCACTTTCTTTTTTGAGGTGGGGAAAGTAGGGAAGGAGGAGGCACATCTGGCCAGAAATTACTAACATCTTTCCATCTTTCAAGGGTTTATTTTAGGGATGCAGATTACCAGCAATGTTTGGATAGGCGATTAGCCGTCCGCGGTTGATTTCCCTGTGCCTGTGGTTACGTGGGCAACCCCCCACCATGCCCCATCCAGGGACTGCTGGGACAAGGGTGGATGCTGGCCCGGGAGCAGTCTGGGACTGATCCCGTCTTCCTCCCCTCCCAGGACCCCAATGCTGACAGTGCCTGGCCCCCAGGGGCTACGCCCCTGGATTGTGTTCTCAGTTTGCAATGCACCTGGTGGTGGTGGGCAGGGAGGAGACGCCCAGGAGGCAGCAGCTGGTGTGATGGAGTCTTGGGTCCTGGGTTCTAACTGTGTGACCACAAAAATCTGGTTTTGGGCTTTCTGAGGGTCTGTTCTCCATCTACAAAGTGTAGAGTGAAGTCTGCAGGCCTAGCAGCACTACCATGCACCATGCTGCGCAATACTGGAGGGGCAAGGGGGCGGGGGGAGGAGGGCAGCCAGCAAAGCTCATCTCCAGCATCCCCACACTGCTCTTTCTTCTCCGCCCTCCTGGTGAGCCCACTTACCCGGGGGAGAATGCTATAATGGCCTCAGGCCCCTGACCTCAGCTACCTGTATCAGCTGGACTCCGAATTAAAACAAAACAAAACAAAAAGCTTCTCTGGGGTTTTTGTTGTTTCTTTGTAGCAACAACTTAGCATCCTTCAAGAGTAGAATATGACTCCACCGTTCAGCTCACCAGTCACTGCGAGCAAGAATCCAGAGACCTAGAAACTGAGAAAACCCCAAATTTAAGGCTACAATTAGGGGCTTTCTCAGAAATTTTAAAACAAATAATCCTTTATATTCAGGTAGGCTCTTAAAGTTTCATTCCACTTCAGTCACCCAAGCCATATTTTTTTTTCTCCCAAATTACACTTCCTTGGAATACTTCCCATGAGGCTTGGCCATATTTCTGAGGCTGAAATGAGAATAGCAAACTCAGAGTCTAGGCAAACCCATCTTCAAAACCATCTCTTCCTCCTGACCTGCTTATACTAATGGTGCCGCCATTCTTCCAACTACCTAGACAGGGCACTTGGATGTAGGGCAACTTTTAGCCAAGGGCTAGTCATTTACACAACCAATGACGTGGAATTGCTGCCGGAATATAAGAAAAATCTGATGGGAAAGGTAGGGATGGGGCTGAGTTAGGAATCAGATTTGTGACTCATCTGGTTACAGACAGTAGTTACAATGAAGAGTAAAGGACAGAGATGAGAACGGGGGCCCCTAGGAGCATCTTCACAGGGGGAGAGAAAGAAGGGTTATTACAAAAGTCATTGCAGGCAGATGGAAAACCAGGCAGCCTGGTGTCTCAGAAAGCACCAGGGGAAGGTGTTTTGAAGGGAGAAAATGCTCCTTGACCCAAAGGCTGCAGAGTTTAAGAACGAGTGTGAGACTTGATCCCTCGCCTTGGCAATCAGGCGGTCCCTGAGGACCTGTGGGAGGCCAGGATCCCAAGGGGCGAGAGTGAATTCCAGACAGCTAAGCAGCAGTGGGAAGTGGAAAGGAAAGGTATGCCACACTGACAACCACCAAGCTTCTGGAATGTTTGTGTGGATTTACCACTGGCCACTTCTAGCCAAACATATCAGACC